GGGGGGCGTGATAAAGTTTGAGATAGAAGAAACTGAAAGACATCGATTTTATCTAGTGCTGAGGTGCAATCACAATCTTGTTCTTAAATTCGTGACCTCGACCCATGAGGTTTGAGCTTGTCGCTCAGAGTCAGATTTATTTTTATAACATAACCAATTCGCCCCATTATTACTGAATGTGTCACGGCATGGTGGAAGCAGGTGCTCGTCAATTTCATTATCTTAAAGCTTTTTCGTTTGTTTTACTTTGAATGAAAAAAAAAAATCATGTATTTTTAATAGAAGTCGGGATATTTCGGATTAAAGGAGGTAGGGGTCACCAGGTTTCAGAGGTAAAATTGTAGAGAAAATGGCCGCCAAAGAGTTTGGTGACTTCCAAAGCTTGAGAGTCCTTGGAAACTGTAAATGTACGCTTTTTAAAATGCCGATAATCAACGTTTTACATTAAAAGCCACTCAGCAATGAGTGTTAAATGGACATAAAATATGCTTAGCCAAAAAATAAAAATTCGAAAAATAAAACAACTGCCTAAAGGGAAGAAAGACGTTTTCTTCATTTTCATTTCTCTGGCGAGCGCCTGATTTCATCAAGATCCCTCACAATTGTAGAACTTTCTAAATTGAAGGTCACAACTTTATCTGATATGCTGACCGCTACTATCAGCCCCCAAAAATACTGAGCATCCACTTGAAGTGTTGTCCTGTCAGCTTTCGTTCAGCCTCCATCTCTGATACCGTTACCGTTTGACCTCACAACTTTGTATAAAAGTTCGACAGTTGGGTTCAGATCTTCAGTTGCAAGTTTCTAGACACGCCAAACAAGATGGAGGCCAAGCTTTTGGTGCTCCTGGCCCTGGTTGCCGTAACCATCGCTGGTGAGTAGGGACCACTCTTATGGCACTTTTTGAACTTTTGAGTGAAAATTCACTGTAATAATAATATGGTCGCTTTTAAGCACAAGGGGGCTATCCGGAAAAAATGCTGTTTTGAGAAAATCGAAGGTAAAGTTTTTGCCCCTTGTTCAGTTCCTTTAAAACACAAGAAAAAGTTTCTCTATAACCAAACAAATATACACACCATTGAAACCAAACTTTTCCTATAGGTAGCGCAATGCCCACTTTTGGTGTAGGTGAAGATTTCTGGAAACCCCCGAAATCTGTGTTAGCCTGCTTGTCCTTAAAAGCGACCATATAAAAAGATACGAAGTCGGAAATTGTAACTTTACAGAGGTTTTTTCACGATTCCGTTTTAAAAGGGGATTCAATTGATCTTCTATTACCAGAGAGATTTTTATAAATCAGATTCTTTCAAATGTTAAGGGGATATCTATCCGCTTACCAGTACCTGTTTTGTCTGTTGGTATGTTTCTATCGTTAGAACATTGTCATGCTTTTAGAATTTAGGTGTTGTATCCCCTCCCCACAGCCCCCATTGACAAAATTTAAATATAAAGGAGGCTTCGACTTGGCATGTTAGGGCCAACACTGTCTTAAAGGGATACTACGTTCCAGCACAAAGACCGAGATACTCGATAAAGGGTCTCCCCACTCGGAAATCGAACTCGAATCTCCTGCATGTGTCAGCTAAGCATCTATCCGCTACATCACAGACACCGGTTTGCACCTTTTGTATATAGTCAATAGTTTAGAAGATTCTGGAATTCGCTAAAATGTGATTTTAAATATTCGATAAAAAATCAATAAATTTTGTTTGGTTTTCGAGATTCATGGGGCAGAAAATGTATGCCAAAAAGTTATTTTGGATCACATTATTTTTCTTTAATTTTTTTTTCTTTCCTTTTTAGTTAAAAAATGTTCGTCTTTTGATCTATGTATCATTTCCCTTGGAAGCAACAATAACTGATGCTTTAGAAATCCTTTAAATAAACTGGGGTGCAGAAAACATCGTTTTGAACCTTTCATTCTTTATTGAACTGCAGTTTTATAAATAAACAATTAAATTCAACGAAGACAGCCACATTACAAAATTCAGCAACCACCCATCCCAGCTCATAGCATTTTCACAAGTTAACAAAAAGCAACCCCAAACAAACGTTACAGCAAACAAACAAACAAAAAACCCAGCAACAACAACAACGCAATACAAACGCCATCCTGCCATCCCCCCTCCCCTTTTCTAAGAACATACTTTTACTTTACTTTTTCCTTCCTCTGGTATCCTTAGAATGTCGAGGGGGGGGGGGGGG